TTATTTTTTTTTTACTAGAAAGATGTGCAGAGACATTTGCTTTTGTCGACGCTTTAGAATTTGGCGAAAATGCTACACAGCATTATCATTAAATTTGCAGCGCGCATAGCCACTTCATTATTAGGTTGATGCTTCTCAATGTGAGAAGCAACAGTTTCTCATGCTTTCAGCATTTTTGTTATTTCGCCAGAAGATTGTTACTTTTCTGTTACATTCTCCTCCTCCTCCTCTGACATATTTTCCTCCAAAACTTCTTGCTGTGAAACAGAATGCAACTCTGTAAGCTCTTTGGTGGTCAGCTCTTGGCTGTGCTCTTCCACAAGCTGTTCGATATCACTGTTCTCCACCTACAATCCCATGATAGTGACAAAGACACTGTCTCGTTGACTACAGGTTCCACAGGTACTGTCTCGAACTCCTCAATGTCACAAATAGACAACACTCTCGGGGCAAAGCTTCCTCCAAGAAGAAGTTAGGATTCTCTTGGTAACCCCTTCTTCCGCCTTGTCGATCATCTTGAGGCAGGCAGCGATGTGAAAGTGATTTTTCTCCAAAACTCTTTGAGAGTGAGGTTAGTCCCTTCAGTCCCCTGAAAACAATGCTCAAAGAGTGCTTTAGTGAAGCGCTTCTTAAAGTTAGAAATAACATGCTAGTCCATGGGCTGGAGTAACGGAGAGGTGTTGGAAGGTAGAAATTAGATCTTGATTCACTTAAATTAATCAGGGAGGTCATCTTGTAGGCCTGAAGGATTTATGTACATATATCACAATATAACACAAGCTTGAGAAAATGTGTGATCACAAGCGAGACTACGATGCTATTGGAACGAGTGCTAAACACAGACTGATGTAACATGCGCAAAATCCGGGACTTGCCCTCTCCTCGCCACTCGTTATGTGAAACGTCGCTCGTTAAGCGAGTCATTCTTTTACAATTTGTTTTACTCGTTATGCGAATTACTCGTTATGAGAGGTGCTCGTTAAGCGAGGTTCTACTGTAATTCCAAAAATGTGACATAGCAATACAAGGGAAAGTGCTTAACCAAATCAGTAAAGTCAAGTATTTAGGGACATTCATAACATCAGATAGGCGATGTGTGACATAAATTAAGAGCAGAATTTACCTGGCTAAGGCGGCATTTCAGAAGATGAAAAGTATTTTATGTAATAAACTCTAAAATATTCACTCTCGTTACACATCAGAAAAGAGCGCTGAGATGTTATATCGAGCCTGTTCTGTTGTATGGTAGTGCATCTTGTAAACAAAGTGAGAAGAGTTTGGAGGCAACTGAGATGTGGTTCTTGAGAAGAATGTTGCGAATACCTTGGACTTCAGGAATAATCAACATTGACAGCCCGGAAATGGCAAATGAAAGTATATCATTATTTACAACAATGAAAAGGAGATAAAAGTTTTTTGGTCAGGTGATGAGAAAAGGAGCAGTCGAAAATATCGCGACGACCGGAAAGATCACTGGAAGAGATAGACTAAGAGAAATGATGGTTGATGGCTTAAGACAGTGGCATGGGGGAATATTATCAGTGACATGGGGGAATATTATCAGTGACATGGGGGAATATTATCAGTGGCATGGTGGAATATTATCAGTGGCATGGTGGAATATTATCAGTGGCATGGGGGAATATTATCAGTGGCATCGGGGAATATTAGTGGCATGGGGGAATATTATCATTGGCATCGGGGAATATTATCAGTGGCATGGGGGAATATTATCAGTGACATGGGGGAATATTATCAGTGACATGGGGGAATATTATCAGTGGCATGGGGGAATATTATCAGTGACATCGGGGAATATTATCAGTGGCATGGGGGAATATTATCAGTGGCATCGGGGAATATTATCAGTGACATGGGGGAATATTAATAGTGGAACTGACCCAGAACGCCAGAGACCGAGATGTGTCAGATTGATAAAAGCCTACGCAAACTGGCAAGATACTTGATGATGATATGAAGCTATGGTGGCCCAGACAGCTGTCTGACCAAGTGGTCCGGGTTCAATCTCTAGAAGGAGCGGGTTTCATTTTCATACTCTGGACAATGTTCATATATTTCTGAGTCTGAACTGGATATTGAATGAGACAGTAGGGGTCATTCAGTTAGTTGGTCGATCAGTCAGTTGGTCGGTCAATCAGTTGGTCGGTCAGTCAGTCAATCAGTCAGTCAGTTGGTCTGTCAATCGGTCACTAAGTCAGTCAGTCAGTTGGTCAGTAAGTGCATAACCCATTATGCCCGTGTGTCGCTGGATCATGTGGTGTTACATTCAGCGACCTATATTCTCCTGGTAATCATAGTGTCGCATAGCGCCCCACACGAACAAGGCGTCTTGGACGTTTGTTTGCCGTCGGTAGTTTCCCAAATCTACCACAATTTCATTATCGTAGCTGCACTTTTATCATTTTAACGTCAGCCGTTTGCTGATGACGACTCAAGCCTACGAGCTCAGTGACCCAAGGGTTCCTTTTTCACTTCATTGGACTGGATGTTATTCCGTTTTACTTCTCACCGCAAAAAGGCTAGACACCTGCCGAAAGTACCGCACAAAGCACGAACTCCGTACCTTTAGTGACGATCCTCAGTAGTCTCCGTAAAACGTGAACTCGTAAACAGACCGGTGCCGCCATAAAACGTACCCACGACCGTTAGAGCGCCAAGCAAACGACCTGACTACTTCGCAATGAAAACCTTTTTGAACATGGGATACAACTGTGGCTTAGGCGTTGCGAACGCGCTGCTTAAGGCCGGGGTGCCGGGTTCGATCCCAGCTGCGTACGATTTGTCTTTGGCTGCTTTCGACAGTGAAAAGGAGAGTTGACCGTTCAGTGAGCAGGGCCAAATTACGGAACGTAAAACAGGAACATGTTTATCAAACACACTGTAGGCTGTGTTTGTCCACTAGGCTGTGTTTGTGTTTGTCCACTAGGCTTTGCTTGTGCTTGTCCACTAGGCTGTGTTTGTCCACTAGGCTGTGTTTGTGTTTGTCCACTAGGCTGTGTTTGTGTATGTCCACTAGGCTTTGCTTGTGTTTGTCCACTAGGCTGTGTTTGTGTTTGTCCACTAGGCTGTGTTTGTCCACTAGGCTGTTCTTGAGTTTGTCCACTAGGCTGTGTTTGTGTTTGTCCACTAGGCTGTGTTTGTGTTTGTCCACTAGGCTGTTCTTCTGTTTGTCCACTAGGCTGTGTTTGTGTTTGTCCACTAGGCTGTGTTTGTGTTTGTCCACTAGGCTGTGTTTGTGTTTGTCCACTAGGCTGTGTTGGTGTTTGTCCACTAGGCTGTGCTTGTGTTTGTCCACTAGGCTGTGTTTGTCCACTAGGCTGTGTTTGCCCACTAGACTGTTCTTGTGTTTGTCCACTAGGCTGTGCTTGTGCTTGTCCACTAGGCTGTGCTTGTCCAGTAGGCTGTGTTTGTCCACTAGGCTGTGTTTGTCCAATAGGCTGTTCTTAAGTTTGTCCACTAGGCTGTGTTTGTCCACTAGGCTGTGTTTGTCCAATAGGCTGTGTTTGTCCACTAGGCTGTTCTTGAGTTTGTCCACTAGGCTGTTCTTGAGTTTGTCCACTAGGCTGTGTTTGTCCACTAGGCTGTGTTTGTCCACTAGGCTGTGTTTGTCCACTAGGCTGAGTTTGTCCACTAGGCTGTGTTTTGTCCACTAGGCTGTTCTTGAGTTTGTCCACTAGGCTGAGTTTGTCCACTAGGCTGTGTTTGTGTTTGTCCACTAGGCTGTGTTTGTGTTTGTCCACTAGGCTGTTCTTGAGTTTGTCCACTAGGCTGTTCTTGAGTTTGTCCACTAGGCTGTGTTTGTCCACTAGGCTGTGTTTGTCCACTAGGCTGTGTTTGTCCACTAGGCTGTGTTTGTCCACTAGGCTGTGTTTGTCCACTAGGCTGTTCTTGAGTTTGTCCACTAGGCTGTGTTTGTCCACTAGACTGTTCTTGAGTTTGTTCACTAGGCTGTGTTTGTCCACTAGGCTGTGTTTGTCCACTAGGCTGTTCTTGTGTTTGTCCACTAGGCTGTGCTTGTGTTTGTCCACTAGGCTGTGTTTGTCCACTAGGCTGTTCTTGTGTTTGTCCACTAGACTGTTCTTGTGTTTGTTCACTAGGCTGTTCTTGTGTTTGTTCACTAGGCTGTTCTTGTGTTTGTCCACTAGGCTGTGTTTGTCCACTAGGCTGTGCTTGTGTTTGTTCACTAGGCTGTTCTTGTGTTTGTTCACTAGGCTGTGCTTGTGTTTGTCCACTAGGCTGTGCTTGTGTTTGTCCACTAGGCTGTTCTTGTGTTTGTCCACTAGACTGTTCTTGTGTTTGTTCACTACGCTGTTCTTGTGTTTGTTCACTAGGCTGTTCTTGTGTTTGTCCACTAAGCTGTTTATGTGTTTGTTCACTAGGCTGTTCTTGTGTTTGTTCACTAGGCTGTGCTTGTGTTTGTCCACTAGGCTGTGTTTGTCCACTAGGCTGTGCTTGTGTTTGTCCACTAGGCTGTTCTTGTGTTTGTCCACTAGACTGTTCTTGTGTTTGTTCACTAGGCTGTTCTTGTGTTTGTTCACTAGGCTGTGTTTGTCCACTAGGCTGTTCTTGTGTTTGTTCACTAGGCTGTTCTTGTGTTTGTTCACTAGGCTGTTCTTGTGTTTGTTCACTAGGCTGTTCTTGTGTTTGTTCACTAGGCTGTTCTTGTGTTTGTTCACTAGGCTGTGTTTTTCCACTAGGCTGTTCTTGTGTTTGTCCACTAGGCTGTTCTTGTGTTTGTTCACTAGGCTATTCTTGTGTTTGTTCACTAGGCTGTTCTTGTGTTTGTTCACTAGGCTGTTCTTGTGTTTGTCCACTAGGCTGTTCTTGTGTTTGTTCACTAGGCTGTTCTTGTGTTTGTTCACTAGGCTGTGTTTGTCCACTAGGCTGTTCTTGTGTTTGTTCACTAGGCTGTTCTTGAGTTTGTCCACTAGACTGTTCTTGTGTTTGTTCACTAGGCTGTTCTTGAGTTTGTCCACTAGACTGTTCTTGTGTTTGTCCACTAGACTGTTCTTGTGTTTGTCCACTAGACTGTTCTTGTGTTTGTCCACTAGACTGTTCTTGTGTTTGTTCACTAGGCTGTGTTTGTCCACTAGGCTGTTCTTGTGTTTGTCCATTAGGCTGTTCTTCTGTTTGTCCACTAGGCTGTGTTTGTGTTTGTCCACTAGACTGTTCTTGTGTTTGTTCACTAGGCTGTGTTTGTCCACTAGGCTGTTCTTGTGTTTGTCCATTAGGCTGTTCTTCTGTTTGTCCACTAGGCTGTGTTTGTGTTTGTCCACTAGGCTGTGTTTGTCCACTAGGCTGTGCTTGTACTTGTCCACTAGGCTGTGTTTGTGTTTGTCCACTAGGCTGTGTTTGTCCACTATGCTGTTCTTCTGTTTGTCCACTAGGCTGTGTTTGTCCACTAGGCTGTGTTTGTCCACTAGGCTGTTCTTGTGTTTGTCCACTCGGCTGTGCTTGTGCTTGTCCACTAGGCTGTGATTGTGTTTGTCCACTAGGCTGTGTTTGTCCACTAGGCTGTGCCTGTGTTTGTCCACTAGGCTGTGTTTGTGTTTGTCCGCTAGGCTCTGTTTGTCCACTCGGCTGTGTTTATCCACTAGGCTGTCCTTGTGCTTGTCCACTATGCTGTGTTTGTCCACTAGGCTGTGTTTTTCCACTAGGCTTTACTTGTGTTTGTCCACTAGGCTGTGTTTGTTCACTAAGCTGTGTTTGTCCACTATGCTGTGTTTGTCCAGTAGGCTGTGTTTGTCCACTAGGCTGTGTTCGTCCACTAGGCTGTGTTGTCCGCTAGGCTGTGTTGTCCACTAGGCTGTGTTGTCCACTAGGCTGTGTATTCCACTAGGCTGTGTTCGTCCACTAGGCTGTGTTCGTCCACTAGGCTGTGTTTGTCCACTAGGCTGTGTTCGTCCACTAGGCTGTGTTTGTCCACTAGGCTGTGTTCGTCCACTAGGCTGTGTTCGTCCACTAGGCTGTGTTTGTCCACTAGGCTGTTCTTGTGTTTGTCCACTAGGCTGTGCGTTTGTTTGTCCACTAGGCTGTGTTTGTCCAGTAGGCTGTGTTTGTCCACTAGGCTGTGTTGTCCACTAGGCTGTGTTGTCCACTAGGCTGTGCTGTCCACTAGGCTGTGTATTCCACTAGGCTGTGTTCGTCCACTAGGCTATGTTCGTCCACTAGGCTGTGTTTGTCCACTAGGCTGTTCTTGTGTTTGTCCACTAGGCTGTGCGTGTGTTTGTCCACTAGGCTGTGTTTGTGTTTGTCCGCTAGGCTCTGTTTGTCCACTAAGCTGTGTTTATCCACTAGGCTGTCTTTGTGTTTGTCCACTAGGCTGTGCGTGTGTTTGTCCACTAGGCTGTGTTTGTCCAGTAGGCTGTGTTTGACCACTAGGCTGTGTTTGCCCACTAGGCTGTGTTTGTCCACTAGGCTTTGTTCGTCCACTAGGCTGTGTTTGTCCAATAGGCTGTGTTTGTCCAATAGGCTGTGCTTGTGCTTGTCCACTAGGCTGTGTTTGTCCACTAGGCTCTAGTATTGTCCGGTTTAGGAAGTTGATAAACATGCTCCAGCTGCAAGTTTCACTGTGGTAAATAAAATGTTTTCAGATTTCCAAATTTACCTGTGATAAAAAAAAGTTTGTTGGGTCTAACTATCTCTTTTCCATTGTCACACAGGGTTGCATTCGAATACATTCGTATTGTTATATAGCAGTGTCGCACACCAACACGAATGCTATTTGCTTTTAGTTGATTGGACCACTGTTTGCGTAACGTTGAACTTCAAATTATAATAATTTCAAGTCTTTGGTAGCGTAGTTGTTAAATTCCGCCTTTCGCGCGCGGAAATGGCGTTCGTATCCCCGTTGGGTGACAATTTTTTTTTTCAGCCCGTAACTAGGCAGCTGGCATGTTGTGTTGTGGTTTACAGCTAGGCTGCGATTTCTTCGCCTTTTTTGGGGGGGCTCTGTTTTTGGTATTTACAGCTAGCTTGTGATAGCGGCGACATGATGCTCAGTGGAAAATAAGAAACATTGTTCAGATCAGGCAATACCTAATTCGCTAACATGTGAAACGTTCAGTTCCTTCTTCAAATCAGAAATTGAGTATTTAAAGTCATCAATACCAGATTCACAGTGTGACTTAAGCCTACTAGCATCATTCTGTGAGGAAAAATGCACTACGACTATTTCTCCAGAGATTCCACTTCTGTCTGTTGCTGAAGTGTATAAATATCTCTCCAACCTCAAGCAAACAAACTCCTCTGGCTTAGATGGAATCAGTAATCGAATTCTTCGATGTGCTGCACCAGTCATTAGTGACTCCCTAACATTCATATATAATCAGTGCCTTTCTAAGAATTACTTTCCATCAGCATTTAAAATTGCTAAAGTGTATCCTCTGCTCAAACCTGGCTCAGCTGACAACAGTTCTCTTGGCAGTTATAGACCCATTTCTCTACTGTCCTCGCTATCCAAACCATTAGAGAAACACATACATAAAATAACGTTTCAGTATTTAAATAACAACAATCTGATAGTTGATAGCCAATCAGGGTTCAGGCCTATGCACTCTTGCCATACTGCGATGACAAAAATGACAGACAACTGGCACTTTAACATCAACAAAGGCAAAATTTGCGGTGCAGTTTTTGTAGACTTTAAGAAAGCCTTCGATGTGGTTGATCATGATATTCTAATTAATAAATTAAAAATATTAAAAACTAACGATAATTTAGTCAAAATAATGCGGTCATTTTTATCTGATAGACAGCAAGTAGTATTCTTCAACAACCGCCTGTCAGAATCCACTCATTTAAATATAGGCGTGCCACAGGGGTCGATTCTAGGTCCACTACTATTTTCCACGTATATTAATGACCTTCCATTACATCTTAGTATAACCTGCGATTTATTTGCTGATGACTGTACAATATATACTAGTAATGAGAATCGTAATGAGTTAGAAAGATCTTTACAGAAAGAAGTACACAATCTTTGTAAATGGAGCTGTATGAATGTATCTCTGTGTGTGGGTGTCTGTATGTCTGTCTGCGTGACTGTATGTGTCAGCATGTGTCTGTCTGTCTGTGCATGTCTATGTGTGTTTCTCTGTGTGTGTTGTGTGTGCCCCTTTGTTGTCTGTATGTGTCTGCATGTCAGAGTTTATGTCTGTGCGTGCTGAATATATGTGTCTGCGTGTGTATTTCTATGTGTTTGTATGTAGATGCATTTCTGCGTATTTGTCTCTGTGGGTGTCAGTATGTGTTTGTCTGCCTGTTTGTCTGTATTTGTGTGTGTGTGTGTTTGACTAAGTGTGTGTCTATGTGGCTGTATGTATGAGTCTGCATGTTTGTCTGCGTATATGTGGTGTGTGTGTCAGTGTGTGAGCACGAATGTAAATATGTGTGCTGTGTGTTTCCCTGTGTGTGCTTATATGTAAGTGTCTGTGTGTGTGTCTGTATTTTTGTCTGTTTGTGTCTCTGTGGGAGTGTCCATGTGTGCATGTGTGTGTTTCCATTCATGACTGGATTTATGACTGTATGTGTGTATGCCTGTATTACGTATGTATGTATGAATGTATATATGTATGCCTGTATGTTTGTATCTATGTATGTATGTTTGTGTGTACGTATGCCTGTGTGTATGTGTGTATGCATGTTTGTTTATATGTATCTGTGTATGTATGTATGTAATGTATGCATGCAGGTTTGTGTGTGTAAGTGAGTGGGTGAGCGTGTGTATGCAGGTGTATGTATACACGCGCGGGTTTTTGCATGCACTTTACAACTCATGCTTTTGTGTTCTTTTATAATATTCATAATATGCATAACATCATATGATCATAACATGCTTTATTAGTAAAATACAACTGCTGTGCGAAAAATGGTTGACTGGAAGGGCCGAATGTAAGACGGGCCTGCGTGCCCAATTTGTGACCCTTTGAAAATAAAGTTCGTTCGTTCGTTCGTTCGTTCGTGGTCATGTCACGGGTAATCTTCGTTTGCCCTTGAGAAGGCGGTTGGCACGCAGTGTTGTGGTGTAAAGCTAGGCTGCGATGTCTGAACCAAACTCTAAAGTCTTCAGTAGTATAGATGTAAGTATTCCGCCCTTCATGCGTGTCACCGTGTTCAATTCAACGCTGGGTGATAATTTATCTTTTTTACTTACATAGGCAGTTGGCACGTTGTGTTGTGGTTTACAACTAGTCTGTGATATATGCGCCTTTCGTCCCAAGATAGTCCTAATTAGGCTCCCCGTGACGCTTAACTCGATCAAACACTATTCGTTGATGACAGACGCTGTTAACTAAGACGACTTACAGTCTAGTTTAGTTTGGGTCGACACGGATGCCAAGGTCGATTAAAAATCGTCCTTTCGGAGAGGGAGAAATGACGGGTACTGGTTTTTATTTTCGCTATATTTGAGTATAGTGTTCTTTTTTTAATCACGGAATATTACTGTGGGTTCCATCACTGGTCAGGTGATAACGTTTTTTTTTTTTCAATATCGGGGGCACAGTAAAACTAAACAGTCCGTGGCGACAGCATGCAGCGTTAACTTCTCTGGCTACACCGACCTTCAGAGACAATGGTGACTTTTTTTTTGCGGGGTTGTTGTGAAGGTGGTGGTGGTAGTGGTAGCAGTAGTACTGGTAATGGATGGGTGATGTGTTAGCTGTTACACTGGCCACATTTACTTCTCTGTACAGAATATTGCTACCCATTTTAGTCTGGGTGGAAACGGATGATAAGCTTAATGTAAATACAATATGTCGTCAGGCGATGACTTTCCCATCCTTCGGAGAGGATGATATGATTGGGCTCGGGGGGAGGGGGGGGGAGGGGCAATGGGGTTGATGCCAGACACTGTTAACTGAGAGAGCTTAAAACGATATTTTACAGTTCTCATTTCTTAACTATTTCTTTTTCAAAGATTTTGTCAGGTGATGGTTTTCCAGTTCTTCGGAGAGGGCGGGTAATTTTTTTTTTTTTTTTTGCCAGTCTGGAGTCGGCATACCAGACTATCTCTCCATCTATGCAATGACTGATTTTACCCATATTAGACACGTGCACTTTCTATTTTCATCTTTTTCCCTAGTTCAGCATTCTGGGCCACAGCAACGCGTGGCCGGGTACAGCTAGTAAATAATATTTCATAATGCATCATCATTTTACATGTAGATAAAGTGTGTCTGAGGTATACACGTACGAGTGTGTGTATGTGTGTGTGTTTGTGTGTGTATGTGTGTGTGTGTGATTTGGATGTGTGAAGTATGTGTGCTTGCTTGTGTCTGTGTGTATTTATATAAGGGCTAGAGCATTTAGGAGCATGCGGAAGTGTGTGTATCCATGGATGTCTGTGTATGTATGGGTAGTTTAAGATATCTTGGTATTTGTGTGTGTATGAGTATCTCTCTGTGTGTATGTATGTGTGTGTGTGTGTGTGTGTGTGTGGTTAATTGTACAAGAATGGGTGTGTGAGGGCGTCTGAGGATGTATGGGTGTATGTGTATGTATTAAAAAAGTGTCTCTTTTCACGCCTCAGGCGCATCGGGCCTATGGGAAGAGCGTTCCATATTTTTACAAACCAATCGGCACTGGGTGGGTAATGTGGTCAGCATTACACCGAATGTCTTTACCTCCCCAGGACACCCATCCTGGTACCCATTTTAGGCTGGGTCGACCTGCGACGCCCCATACCAAGACAAAAATCCACGCAGCCAGCAGTGGGTTTCGATCGCGGTATGTTGGAATTACGAGTCGGACTCGCAACGCCTAAGCCAGGGACGCCTTGGCAATTGCTGCTCCAGTGTGTAAACAGAACAACTGTGACACCTGTGACATCAGACAACAGACTAGCGGGCTGTGTATGTATGGGTATGTAAACATGTTTGGAGATATATGGGTGTTTGTGTATGTATGCATGTGCAAGAATGTTTGGAGATATACGAGTGTTTGTGTATGTATGGGTATGTAAACATGTTTGGAGATATATGGGTGTTTGTGTATGTATGCATATGCAAGAATGTTTGGAGATATACGGGTGTTTGTGTATGGCTGTGTAAGAATGTTTAGAGATATACGGGTGTTTGTGTAAGACTATGTAAGAATGTTTAGAGATATACGGATATTTGTGTATGGCTGTGTAAGAATGTCTAGAGATATACAGGTATATGTGTATTTACAGGTGAATGTGTATGGTTCCTGTGTATGATTAGTTCCTTTTGTATGGGTGGGTGTTGGTGCTTGCACGGATATGTACGAGTGTGTATATTTATTGGTGTATGCATGAGTGTGAGTGCATGCTTGGATATATATGAGTAGTTTTATGTATTTGTGGGTGTGTATGAATATGGTGTATTCATATGTGGGTTTGCTAGGCTGTTTATGTATATACGCGTCCGTATGTCTGTCGTATATATATATATATATATATATATATATATATATATATATATATATATATATATATATATATATATATTGGTTATGCTAAATGTTGTGTGCTAACTGTTAGGTGGCATATGAGCATACGGTCCAAGTGTCTAATTGGTAATTCTCGATCAAACTCTGCAACACACACACACAGTCCAGGAAAACTTAAAACATTATTCACCTCCATAAGTTTAATCACAAAACGTTCGGCTCTAGCAACCCGGCATACTGTACGTAACAACGAAGCAACCTAACGTGTGTCTACTAGTAAAGCTAACAGGGATTAACCTCTGAAGCTCCGCATGCCCAGAACAGTTCTAGCGGAACTCCATAAAACAGCCTAGACCGGCTGTCAGGCAGACTTCTTAAGCTCACAGCTTCAGTACTTAGGTCGCTGGCTAACCCTGACTTTAGAATGAACAAGCTCCATCTATCTAACTTACCCAGCTGGACCTCCGTTGCTATACTCAACTCTCTCCCTAATTGTTTTCCTTCCCATTGGCCCCCAGTATATGCAAGTATGAGTTCTCTGTGAGTTCTCTGTGAGTTCTCCGTCAAAAGTATCGTATACAACTTAATGCCGTCGTGTTTATTTATTGAAAATTTATTTTCATAATCTCGAATATACAACCCATGTTTAAACACAGAATATGTATATATAGATGCACAACACATATGAACACATATAAACGAATTGCTGTTGTTGACAGTGCAAGTCTACAAGTGGAGCCGGTGACCCGCTAACACCAGAATCATGTGGCTGTTTGCAAACATGAAGTTCTGGTACAGACTGGTCAGTCTGCTGCTGATGGCTGTCGTTTCGGTGGGCATCCTCATCAGCTTGTCCTTCAACATCCATCGATCGCAGCTAGAGCGCCAACACAGTCTGATGCCTAGGAGCAGGGACCGGAGGGCCGATTTCAAGGTAGCTCATGTGGAATATTTTATATAGTATCTTGTTCCACCTCTGTGTGGTCTAGGGATTAGCATACAACAGGGATTAGGGGTATATATACATATACACATGCTTGTATGCGTGGGAAAAGGCAGTCGGACACAGACTCACTAACACAGATGGAGAGAGATAAATGAGAGATGGAGGAACGTGATCTACTGCGGCTTTAGAATTGTACATGATCTCCAAGAGATGGTGATGTTATTCTTTATCATTATCTTCAGGAGATGGTGATGTTATTCTTTATCGTTATCTTCAGGAGATGGTGATGTTATTCTTTATCATTATCTTCAGGAGATGGTGATGTTATTCTTTATCGTTATCTTCAAGAGATGGTGATGTTATTCTTTATCGTTATCTTCAAGAGATGGTATTGTTATTCTTTATCGTTATCTTCAAGAGATGGTGATGTTATTCTTTATCGTTATCTTCAGGAGATGGTGATGTTATTCTTTATCGTTATCTTCAAGAGATGGTGATGTTATTCTTTATTATGGTCTCCAAGAGATGGTGATGTTATTCTTTATTATGATCTCCAAGAGATGGTGATGTTATTCTTTATTATGATCTCCAAGAGATGGTGATGTTATTCTTTATTATGATCTCCAAGAGATGGTGATGTTATTCTTTATTATGGTCTCCAAGAGATGGAGATGTTATTCTTTATTATGGTCTCTAAGAGATGGTGATGTTATTCTTTATCGCTATCTTCAGGAGATGGTGATGTTATTCTTTATTATGGTCTCTAAGAGATGGTGATGTTATTCTTTATTATAGTCTCCAAGAGATGGTGATGTTATTCTTTATTATGGTCTCTAAGAGATGGTGATGTTATTCTTTATTATGGTCTCTAAGAGATGGTGATGTTATTCTTTATTATGATCTCTAAGAGATGGTGATGTTATTCTTTATTATGATCTCTAAGAGATGGCGATGTTATTCTTTATTATGATCTCTAAGAGATGGTGATGTTATTCTTTATTATGGTCTCCAAGAGATGGTGATGTTATTCTTTATTATGGTCTCCATGAGATGGTGATGTTATTCTTTATTATGATCTCCATGAGATGGTGATGTTATTCTTTATTATGGTCTCCAAGAGATGGTGATGTTATTCTTTATTATGATCTCTAAGAGATGGTGATGTTATTCTTTATTATGGTCTCTAAGAGATGGTGATGTTATTCTTTATTATGATCTCTAAGAGATGGTGATGTTATTCTTTATTATGGTCTCTAAGAGATGGTGATGTTATTCTTTATTATGGTCTCCAAGAGATGGTGATGTTATTCTTTATTATGGTCTCTAAGAGATGGTGATGTTATTCTTTATTATGATCTCTAAGAGATGGTGATGTTATTCTTTATTATGATCTCTAAGAGATGGTGATGTTATTCTTTATTATGGTCTCTAAGAGATGGTGATGTTATTCTTTATTATGGTCTCCAAGAGATGGTGATGTTATTCTTTATTATGGTCTCTAAGAGATGGTGATGTTATTCTTTATTATGATCTCTAAGAGATGGTGATGTTATTCTTTATTATGATCTCCAAGAGATGGTGATGTTATTCTTTATTATGGTCTCTAAGAGATGGTGATGTTATTCTTTATTATGGTCTCCATGAGATGGTGATGTTATTCTTTATTATGATCTCCAAGAGATGGTGATGTTATTCTTTATTATGGTCTCTAAGAGATGGTGATGTTATTCTTTATTATGGTCTCCATGAGATGGTGATGTTATTCTTTATTATGGTCTCTAAGAGATGGTGATGTTATTCTTTATCGTTATCTTCAGGAGATGGTGATGTTATTCTTTATCGTTATCTTCAGGAGATGGTGATGTTATTCTTTATTATGGTCTCCAAGAGATGGTGATGTTATTCTTCATCATGATCTGATGATCTTTATCACTGATGCTAAGGTGTTTAAAAGGTCAGAAGTAAAACCATTTTCTGAATATTACTGAGATCTTCTTGATTGATTGACTTGAACCTAACAATGATATTCTGTCGCAGAGCTCTGAAGCCGACAGTCTGATGAAGACTGAAATGTGTAGCTTGACGGGCTCGGCGCTACCACACTATGCAAACATCACCACTTACAACCTGTACTACAACAATCAGTTCAACATCAAGACAGATGGCGACTGGGAGCTGCCCATCGCTGACCAGGAATATTGTAGGTCGATGACTGAAATTCTGAAGTAATGTGTCTGACGTTTCTGTCTCATTTCCTAAAGTAATGTGTCTGACGTTGCTGTCTCATTTCTTAAAGTAATGTGTCTGATGTTTCTGTCTCATTTCTTAAAGTAATGTGTTTGATGTCTCTGTCTCATTTCTTGAAGTAGTGTGTCTGACGTTTCTGTCTCATTTCTTAAAGTAATGTGTCTGATATTTCTGTCTCATTTCTTAAAGTAATCTGTATGATGTTTCTGTCTCATTTCCTAAAGTAGTATGTCTGACGTTTCTGTCTCATTTCTTAAAGTAGTATGTCTGACGTTTCTGTCTCATATCTTAAAGTAGTGTGTCTGATGTTTCTGTCTCATATCTTGAAGTAGTGTGTCTGACGTTTCTGTCTTATTTCTTAAAGTAATGTGTCTGACGTTTCTGTCTCATATCTTGAAGTGGTGTGTCTGATGTTTCTGTCTCATATCTTAAAGTAGTGTGTCTGACGTTTCTGGCTCATATCTTAAAGTTGTGTGTCTGTTGTTTCTGTCTTATATTTTGAAGTAGTGTGTCTGACGTTTCTGTCTCATTTCTTAAAGTAGTGTGTGTGATGTTTCTGTCTCATATCTTGAAGTAGTGTGTCTGATGTTTCTGCCTCATTTCTTAAAGTACTGTGTCCGACATTTCTGTCTTATTTCCTAATGTAGTGTGTCTGTTGTTTCTGTCTCATTTCTTAAAGTAATGTGTCTGACGTTTCTGTCTCATTTCTTAAAGTAATGTGTCTGAAGTTTCTGTCTCATTTATTAAAGTAGTGTGTCTGAGGTTTCTGTCTCATATCTTGAAGTAGTGTGTCTGACGTTTCTGTATCATTTCCTAATGTTGTGTGTCTGATGTTTCTGTCTCATATCTTAAAGTAGTGTGTCTGATGTTTCTGTCTAATTTCTTAAAGTAATGTGTCTGATGTTTCTGTCTCATTTCTTAAAGTAATGTGTCTGATGTTTCTGTCTCATTTCCTAAAGTAGTGTGTCTGACGTTTCTGTCTCATTTCTTAAAGTAGTGTGTGTTATGTTTCTGCCGGATTTCTTAAAGTAATGTGTCTGACGTTTTTGTCTCATTTCCTAAAGTAGTGTGTCTGACGTTTCTGTCTCATTTCTTAAAGTAGTGTGTCTGATGTTTCTGTCTCATATCTTGAAGTAGTGTGTCTGATGTTTCTGTCTCATATCTTGAAGTAGTGTGTCTGACGTTTCTGTCTCATTTCCTAATGTAGTGTGTCTGACGTTTCTGTCTCATTTCCTAATGTAGTGTGTCTGACGTTTCTGTCTCATTTCCTAATGTAGTGTGTTTGATGTTTCTGTCTCATTTCTTAAAGTAGTGTGTCTGATGTTTCTGTCTCATATCTTGAAGTAGTGTGTCTGATGTTTCTGTCTCATATCTTGAAGTAGTGTGTCTGATGTTTCTGTCTCATATCTTGAAGTAGTGTGTCTGACGTTTCTGTCTCATTTCCTAATGTAGTGTGTCTGACGTTTCTGTCTCATTTCCTAATGTAGTGTGTCTGATGTTTCTGTCTCATTTCTTAAAGTAGTGTGTCTGACGTTTCTGTCTCATTTCCTAATGTAGTGTGTCTGATGTTTCTGTCTCATTTCCTAATGTTGTGTGTCTGATATTTTTCACACTGGTCAACAAAACAGTTACCACAGCAAACTCTGTAGAACTTGTAGACTTGTCCAACCAGCGTGACACACAGATTCACCAGTTTCGACCTCACAACACGCGGGGGGGGGGGGGGGGGGGGGGGTAAACACTAATACCATCCTCTGACGAATATTTACACTGAAAATATTCAAAACTCCACTTTCTAATACAATAAATTGCCCTAGACAGTTCAGGTGCTCCAACAATATAAAACAATTGACTAAAACTGCCACACGAACATTTTGCTGACTGAAGGCGAATGAATCAGACTACCAGGCGATTCGTCTCTCGGCGGTCCTTTCACGTGGATATGGCCATACTCGTGGATTCCGTGAATTTCACACAACACATGTTCCACACTTTTCCAGCGGCCCACTTCGGTCACTCGTATCCTTAATTTTAATGTAAGGTAAAAGAAACGTTAGTCTCCCCCACGGACCACCCACATACACATTAGCTTACTTCCGATTGGTCAAACTACAGCCTATCTCACTTTTGATTGGTCGATCTTTAGCCACCCGACATGGCACAAGGTTACGGAAGTGTTCCCCAATGCTGATATTGCGTCTTTTTTATTTCAGCATTCCAGTGCCTTTAACACCACAAAAACATCGACAAACTGGGTCTAACACACAACCCGTTTAGGGAGTGATGAAACCTATGTCACAGACATTCTCTTTCTCAGAATAAAAAAGTAAATGTAAGACATCCCAGAAAGCAATCAACAGAGCAGCACACCCCTAACGTCCAACAAGGTTAGACCCTTCAAAGAAAGTTTTCAATGGAAAGTGACATATTTTCTATGGGAAGACTAACGATTGTATGACCTAACGTAAATTTTCACACGTGTGTGACCTCTGGCAAAAATTGGTTATAATAGCACAGTTAGCACACAACAGACCTAATAATAATAATAATAATAATAATAATAATAATAATAATAATAATAATAATAATAATAATAATAATTAAATAAATAAATAAATAAACATTGCCCACTCTTTATGTTTTCCCAAATGGTTGCTATGCGTGGCTACTCCTGTACTGTCGTATATGTGGCTACTCCTGTACTGTCGTATATGTGGCTACTCCTGTACTGTCGTATATGT